ACTAAAAGCTTTCAAATTCAGCTGCCCAGGATTGCCAGGAGCTCACGTACGGGCACGTGGAATTTTTGGTGCGAAAATCACTAACTCGGGAACGGGAAAAACTAGAAAGCTGAAACTTTAGGGGAATGTCCCCTACTCATGTACGAGCAAAATCAGGTGTTTAGAGGCGTCCGGGGCTCACGTACGGGCACGTGGGAATTTGGCACGGAAATCGCTGACACGGGAACGGGAAAAGCTAGAAAGCTGAAACTTTAAGGGAATGTTCCCTATTCATGCACGAGTAAAATCAGGCGTTTAGAAGCGCCCGAGCCCATGCATGGGCATGTGAAAATTTTGGTGCGAAAACTGCTAACCCAGGAATGGGAAACGCTAGAAAGCTAAAACTTTAAGGGAATGTTCCCCGCTCATGCACGAGCAAAATCAGGTGTTTAGAGACACCCGAGTCCATGTATGGGCATGTGAAAATTTTGGCGCGAAAATCATTAACTCGGGAACGGGAAAAACTAGAAAGCTGAAACTTTGAGGGAATGTTTCCTACTCATGTACGAGCAAAATCAGGTGTTTGGAGGCATCCGGGGCTCACGTATGGGCACATGGGAATTTTGGTGCGAAAACTGCTAACCAAAGAACGGGAAAAGCTAGAAAGCGGAAACTTTAAGGGAGTGTTCCCTACTCATGCACGAGTAAAATCAGGAGCTTAGAAGCGCCCGAGCCCATGCATGGGCATGTGAAAATTTTGGCTCGAAAACTGCTAACTTAGGAACGGGAAAAGTTAGAAAGCTTGAAACTTTAAGGGAATGTTCCCTACTCATGTACGAGCAAAATCAGGTGTTTAGAGGCATCCGGGGCTCACGAACGGGCACGTGAGAATTTGGCGCGAGAATCACTAACCCGGGAACGGGAAAGGCTAGAAAGCTGAAACTTTAAGGGAATGTTCCCCACTCATGCACGAGCAAAATCAGGTGTTTAGAGGCACCCGAGCCCACGTATGGGCATATGAAAATTTTGGCGCGAAAATCACTAATTCGGGAATGGTAAAAGCTAGAAAACTGAAACTTTAAGGGAATGTTCCCTACTCATGTGGGAGCAAAATCAGGTGCTCAGAAGCATCCGGGGCTCACGTATAGGCACGTGGGAATTTTGGCGCGGAAATCACTAACCCGGGAACGAAAAAAGCTGGAGAGCTGAAATTGCATGTGGGAATTTTGGCGCGGAAATCACTAACCCGGGGACGAAAGAAGCTGGAGAGCTGAAATTTTACGCCCCTATTTACGTAGAAACAAAATCAGTTGTTTAGAGGCGCTTGAGACCCAAGTACGCCACATCTGAGAGTTTTGGCGAGGAAATTACTAATCCGGGAAAGGGAAAAGCTAGAAAGCTGAAACTTTATGGGAATGCTCCCCACTCATATACGAGTAAAATCAGGTGTTTAGAAGCGCCCGAGCCCACGTACGAGCGCGTGGAAATTT